TGACGTCAACGCTCTCGGCTGCTGATTGGTCGGAGAGAATCGTCACAATCTGCGCGCGAGATAATCCATTTTTACAAACAGCATTTTTGTTAACAGAGGAGCTACAACAATGGCAAAGAAAAGCACACCATGGTCGGTCGAGGAAGTGACGACGTCCATTATATTGCAGATGATAAGGTCCAGCGGGTGCTCGACGGGACAACTCGCAATATCAAAGTCTTTCAGGAGGTCTCTACACAGACACTGGACTCTCCAACGGCGTTACTGGAGTCTGCATGGTACGTTTTTGCTAACGCTGTTATTTGCTTGAAAGCTTTGTGTCCCTGCTTTGTGTCCCTATCTGTTTTAAAGCTCACTTCTAACAAATAAGTCTATTTTATCCTTACATTTATGTTCGACAACCCCGATGGAGCCCCGAAGGCTAGCTAGGCAGATAGCATTAGCGAGAGCTATTGTTTGCTAACACCATATGTGCCATTGTTTACGTTCAGTTTGTCTTTTCTATAGTTGTTGTTGCTATTTATAGTATTGTGCTGCAGTAGTTTGTGGAATTTACAAGTCATGTTTCTGTTCTAGATGATTACATTGGGACTAGCGAGGAGGAACAGTTCCGAACAACGTCCTCTGCATCAACAGCACAAACCGAGGAGGAGAGGATCTGGCCCTGCAGGAACGGCAACTGGCCCAGCAGAATCAATGCCATGTCTTATCTTATTGCTTGTTGATAAATAATTGCACCCACCAGCGATCGCACAGAAAGATGGCATCATCTAGGCGTCCCTCTGCAGTCAGAAATATCATAAACACCATCGTCCACAAAGCACTGTACAGGGGTTTATGGATTTAAGAGAATACTTATCACAGTGAAACCTTTATCATCTGTTGCAATTAAAGCAAATAAGAGAATAAATACTTGGTTAAATAATACATTTTAACTCTTTAGCAGGACAACTCTGCATACTGTTTGAAATTGAGTTTGCTAGCTTGAGGTCCTCCTCTAAAACATAACATTACATATTTTGTAATGGTATTAAGAATACATGATAAATACATGTAGAAAAATTACTCAATTGTAATACCCTCGTTGTGCTAGACCAGGGGTGGGCATTTTACGGCCCGCGGGCCACATCCGGCCCGTTGGCCGGCCTTGGCCGGCCCGTGTGAGGTTGATCATAAATTATAACATAATGAAAAAAAACAGCAACCTTTTCAAAATAAAAGCAACACAGCTGTATTGCTTGCATGGCGTAAATACTTTTCTAACTGTGTTGCTTTTATTTTGAAAAGGAAGCTGCTGTTTTTTTTATTTATTTACGTAAACGCGCATGCCGTGAACAGCTACGAGTGATGCTGGCCGGCTAGTCCTCGAAATGTCCGCTAAGGGCAAAAAAAGAAAGATCGATACTGAATGCCGCGTTTTCAACAAGACATGGACCGCTAAGTATTTATTTACAGAAGTGAAAGGTAAAGCTGTGTGTTTAGTTTGTGGTGCGCAGGTCGCTGTGTTCAAGGAGTACAATTTGAGTCGCCACTATGCTACCAAACACGCAGATAAATACAAGAACCTGTCTGAGGAAGAGCAGGCAAAGGGGTCGGATGCTTTGCTAGCTAAGCTGCAAAGCCAACAACACATTTTCACAAAACATTCCACATCCAGAGATGCAGCTGTCAAGACGAGTTATGTCTTAAAAGTAAACCGTTTTCGGACGGAGAGTTCATTAAGGAGTGTTTGAAAGTGCCGCTCTCCCGAGCACTGTTACGAGGAGAATTGAGGACATCGCGGGAAATCTGGAGCTTCAGCTGCAGAACAGAGCGGTCAACTTTGACTTTTTTTCCTTGGCTTTGGATGAGAGCTGCGATGTACGTGACACTGCCCAGCTACTCATCTTCCTACGTGGGATAACTACAGACTTCAAAATCACGGAGGAGCTGGCAGCCATTCAGTCAATGAAAGGTACAACAACAGGGAGTGATTTGTTCACGGAGGTAAATGCATGTGTGGAAAAGTTGGGACTGAAATGGGACAAGCTGGCAGGCGTGACAACGGATGGTTGTCCAAATCTGACAGGGAAAAATGTTGGACTATTGAAGAGAATGCAGGATAAAGTGACAGAAATTAACCCTGAGCAGAAATAGGTATTTTTGCATTGTATTATACATCAGGAAGTGTTGTGTAAGTCAGTGTTAAAAATTAACCATGTTGTTGATGTTGTAACTAAAATAGTTAACTTCATCAGGGCAAGAGCATTGAATCACAGACAGTTTGTTGCACTTTTGGAGGAAAGTGAGACTGAACATCGTGACATACCCTACCATGCAGCTGTCAGGTGGCTCAGCCTGGGCAAAGTGCTGAAAAGAGTATGGGACCTGAGAGAAGAGATTCAAGACTTCTGTGTGAAGAAAGGAAACGACATCCCACAGCTTTCAGATGCAGACTGGATGGCAGACCTTGGTTTTGCTGTAGATGTGACTGCACTAATGAGTGAACTAAATGTCAAACTGCAAGGCAAGGGCCTTTTTGTGCATGACATGTACAGTGCAGTGAAGGCTTTCATGAGAAAGCTGCAGCTTCTCTCAAGCCAAATGGAGGACAACATTCTCACGCACTTGCCAACACTGAAGGAAGCCACACCATCAGCTGATCACCTCCAGAGGTACTCATTCATGTTAGAAGCACTGCATGGTGAGTTTTCAAGGCGATTTAAAGACTTCAAAACAGTTGAGAATGAAATGAACATGATATTTTCCCCATTTACATGCCATGTGGATGATGCACCCAGTGATGTTCAGCTTGAACTCATTGACCTGCAGTCTGACACACTTCTGTCAGAGCACTTTAGGTCAGTCTCACTGCCTGAGTTTTACGCTTCCCTGAAAGAGGAGAACTTTCCACACATCAGGAGACATGCTCAGAAGATGAGGGTCCTCTTTGGATCTACCTACATATGTGAACAGACATTCTCAGTGATGAAGTTCAACAAATCCAGATACAGATCCTCTATCACTGATGATCACCTCTCAGCTGTCCTTCGCATATCCACCTCAGACATTGAACCAGATTTCCGTGCACTTGTTCAAGCCCAAGACAGACTGGATTTTTCTCACTGAACAAGTAAAATGAACTGAAAAACAAAAGTCAAAAGCACTCATTTCTTTTTGTATAAAGCTGATTCATTTCTTATCTTTAACATACTGTAAAACACCTTTTCAGTATTGGTATATTGAGCAGAATTAAGTTAAACTTATTTTTGATTCGGCCCCCCAACACAGCTCGAGTTTCTGAAATGGCCCCTTGTAAAAGATAATTGCCCACCCCTGTGCTAGACTCAAACACATTGCTTATATATTTCAAAGAGAAGAGAACAAAAGAAAACACCTATACAAAGAGAGTGGTGCACAGCGCTTAATATTTACTTGCACTATATTTCTGTTGATCTGGGTTATTGTGTTGCACTGTTGGAGGAGCCTGTGACCTAAGATGTTCATTGTCATAACTACACTAGCTATGTTCGTATGACAAAATAAAAAACCTTGAACCTTGAGGCTGTGTCTTTCAGACAAACCATCATAATCATATTATTTTATGCTGTGGATACTTTAGCCTCCATCCATGTTAACAATTTTTTACACTTGCATTTATGAATATAGTTCTGTTGTGTTTTACACTTTTGTATTTATGTTTATAGTTTGCTTTGATATTTGCTTAATTTATTAGATTATTATTATGGGGGCAGTACTGGTGCTTGAAATTCAAATATTTACTAAATAGTCAATTCTGATAACATTTTTTTGGTTTAAATAATTTGACAAACACATGTATGTGAAAAAGAAAAGATGTATTTATGTTCAATACAATACAATGAATATTTAGGTATTACACGTAGGTTTTCCTCAGGCATCCTGAAGTTCTCCACCCACTGAGTGTGTGAAAGATGGAACAATCACATTCCACCACTCGGTAGCTCGGTCGGTAACTTCTGAAATACACAAACAAAAGCATACATATTTTAATACGTAAAAGTGGTAGCTACAATTAATTAAATACTTGAAATACTTTGGTCGTATAGGGAGCGTGAGCCTAAACACATTGCTAGTTAGCGAACGTTAGCTTACCAAGTAGCATTGTAGTTAGTAGTGATTCGAGTCGTCCTGTAGTCTCTGCGGCGTAGGAGGACTGCCCGAACTCTCGCGTCAGCTTCTTCTATACCTCGTCTTGCTATACGTCGCCTCTTTCGAAACAACTCTTGTCTATTTCTTGTGATAATAAACCACACAGCAAAAAACAAGCAAACGATCGCTTTCACATCTCCATTGTTGTGTCGCATTGAAGATGACGTCACGGCAGTTTTAAGCAGCGTCGCTCCGCCTACACTGTGTTACTATAGATACTGACCCGGTTCCTAAACTGTAATGGAAACGCGCCACAAAGTGAGCTGGTCCTAACGAGGCCGGGCGCGGCCAAAGGAGGCCGAGCGGGGCCGAGCGAGGCTGTGTAGTGGAAACACGGCATAAGTGTTCTCCCAAAACCAACATTTTGACTTGGATGCCATTGCCAACTTTAGGATCAATATAGTACCAAAACATTACCACTCCTTTCACACTTGTACATACTGATTCAGGAGTTCTCTCCAAAATAAGACAAGGCCCAGATTTACCTCCTAATTAAAGAAAAAAGGAAACCTTATTGTTGTTGTCATACTAACCAATCTCACTTATAAATGTAATCTGTCAGAGCAGTTAATTAAAATACGGCGCCCTAAAATGGTCAAAAAATGCCCTAACATTCAACGTTTACGGTCTTGCTCCTATATACTATTTTTGTTGTCTCACCATAATAATAATAATAATAATAATAATAATAATAATAATAATAATAATAATACATGATACTTGTATAGCGCTTTTCTAGGAACTCAAAGACGCTTTGACAGAGAATAAAAAAAAGAAAAATACAATGTTACATATAACCACATTTTATACATGTAGGACATTTGCTTATACAGGGGCTGCATTCCAGCTGGCGTTGTTAAGCTATTTTTCAACGCCCATACACAAAATGCATATTTTTCTAAACTTTTCACCATGTTCAAATTGATTCAACTTCATAAATCAACACACATTTTTACATTTTGAATTTATTTATTTAATGATGTATTATTTTATTAATTTATATTTACTGCGGGAAATGTGTTTATTACAAAAAGGCAGACATGAAATAAAAACGTTTTAAAGCATGTCATAGAACTTTCCAAGTGCCTTTCTAAAGGAGTTGAACTGTTCAATTCACTCCAAAGTAACAAATGGTATCCAAAACACTAAATATTCCTATGTATTCTGTTTTAATTGACTTCCTTCAGTATGTAGCCCACACACTAATTCAGCACCCCCAAATGTGAACACAATCTTTCATTATCAGTCATGAAAACGTTATGCATTTTGAGGCAGAATGGCCCTTTAGAGTCTTTCATGCAGCCATGTTCCTGGCAGCTGTTATTATCTTGACGGCAAACAGACTTTAATAACGTTTAATTACAGATATTATCATTTTGAAGTATGAGCCTCACGTGATTGCTGACACTCATGCAACCTTTTTTTTACAGCGCAGAACAAGGTGGTGTTTAACCTGACTTCCTGATTGCTGGAACTGTCACAACCCTTTTCCTAGGTCAATTTCATGAACCCCTGGTCAGAAAAATACATCCGGAACAACAGTGCGACACCTCCTGAAAGCTTTGTTCAGAATGAGAGGCTCTCAGGAGCAAGATCCTTCCACTGGGGTCAGAAACAGCCCTGGAACAGATACAATAACAAACATGGCAGTTAAAGGTTTCTGTGATACTTCAGAGAGCCTTTGATTCATGGTAAACAGAGAGGATGGCTCGTTCTGTTCAAACAGAAACAAAGTCGAGACATTCAAAATGTTCGGCTTCACTTAATGACCAGGGTTGGGAGAGTTGCTATAAAAATGTAATTTAACATTGTAATCCCTACTGTTTGTAATGTAACAGTGTTCAAATGACGTCTTTTTTATGCAACTGTAAAGGAATACAGTTACCTTGTTTTGTATCCTGATACACATCTTCCGGCGCAGACTGAAAACTCATCTCTTTCGACTCCACTTTGAGCAATAAAATGAAAAAATAAATTAAAATAAAATAAAAAGCACTTATATACTAACTAAGCACTTATATACTAACAAAGCACTTATATACTAACAAAGGACTGGCTTATCTAAAGCCAGTTGAGTAGCACTTGAAATGGTTTGGCTCTATGAAACCTGATGTACTTATATGATTCTGTTTTCTTCAAGTTTGTATCTTCTTGGTCGAATGCACTTATTGTAAGTCGCTTTGGATAAAAGCCTCAGCTAAATGCAATGTAATGTAATGATACATTATCCCGTTACATGTGATCCGTTACTCCCAAATCCTGTTAATGACACAGCTCTATCAATCAATCAAAGTTTATTTATATAACCCAATATCACAAATTGTACATTTGTCTCAGTGGACTTTACAGCTGTTAACATGTTTGTTAAATGATGTCACATGAAATTGATGATAGAAAAACAAGATCAAAATTGCATTTAGCCTGGAAATCAGACTGAATCGTCATTTTTGTTAAGATCCAAGCAATAGTGGCGCATCTTCAAACTCGGCCTTTACTTTGAAATACTCACCTATTGTCAAGGTTTTGAGGTAAGGTAGGACCCAAATTTAGTTTGAGAAGAAGCGGGTTCTATTTCGTATAGGCTTCGCCCTCTAAGGCTATCGCTATTGGGTAATCCCCTGCGCACCCGCGCAGCACTGAAAACACTTGTAGTCCACGCCCACCCGCGAGGTGGGCCCCACCCTCGGGCTCCCTTCCGGTATAAATAGGAAGGAGGCCCGACAATCTGCTCCCTCTTTTCTTCAGCACCCCGGTACTGAAGCACTGTCGAGACACTAAAGAGTAAAGGCTCTTTTAAGAGCCACCTCGAAAAAGATCCTTAACCATGAGTACACAGGGTTGTGTTAGAGTTTGCTCCTCATGCCATGTTATCTGATGCTTTTGAAAGTGGTGTGAATTTTGTTTAGGGTTGGCTTCAGGGTTGTGTTGGCAGACTGCCGGGCTCTTCTCAGGAAACTAAGGCCGGCAGGGAGTGGTTCCTTTTCCCTTATCACCACATCCTGTCCTCCGCTCTGACGACCGCACCGTTTACACCCTTCACAGCCTCTCTGACCGATTAACAGTTCAGAAAGTCTTCAATCAGCCTGAACACTCACGCCCCTCCTGCTGAATACACACTCTTCAAATGGACTCTCAAAGTCCATTTCCTCCGCCGTAAGAAAGAGGGGGTTCAAAGACTGGACACCTGAATGTGACTGAAATACACAAACACAGGTATACAGGATAAATAGAGAGGTGAACATCAAGAGCCTGTTGTTACTATCTGTATGTCAATGAGAGAGAAAAAAGGTTTAAGAGTTGAAGATCTGTCTAGACATTCCATTCAGAAGTATAATAACCACATTCTCTTTACATTGTACAAAAGCTCTATTGTTGGAGGTCAAACAGTGACACTGGGATTGTTAAGCCTTATACATTTAAAGGTGAAAGCATTACTGAAAGTCTTTGGTTATAGCAGACTAATTAAAGGCTTTTTTGTAGAAACCTGATCGTATTGATGCTTTCGACCCATTCATTTCTGTTCTGAGTGAATCCCTTCAATTCATCTTGTATCCCAACTGAATGGTTAGCATTTAAATGACTCAAGGCCCAATGTCTTTATGGGAAATCTCATCTTCTTTGACACTGTGTGTTTTGATGGGTAAGACTCTCTATTTCTCTCTTTGTGTGTTTATGTTAAACTTGTATATTCTTGGGCTTAGGATTAAAAACTGCAAACAAAACAAAACGTAGGACCTAAACATCGACCTCAATGGCCCCCTGGCCAGAGAAATACATGAATAGACAAGTAAACATGTTCATTCAGGGGTTTTATTTGAATTCATCTGAAGAAGGCCGCTATATCAAAAATGCCCGCAACTGTGAATATGAAAGAATTAACGAATAACAGGGAGTAAAAGCAAATTCTAAAAGGCGAGGTTTGCCATATGTGAAATAAAAAGAACCTATGCAAATGTTGTATCTTGGCTGAAACTATATTAACATTACATTTGGGGTCTTCTTCAAAAATGTTGGGATAATTGATCATCAAGCAAAACGAACAAGAGTGACCTGGCCAAATGATGCCGTTCGTCACTCCAGGATTAGTTTCAGAGCAGGCCGCTCAGCACATCAGCCAACCCCTGCACATTGGCCTGCAATATATCCAGTATTATACATCAGTTTTGGAGATTGTCTCCTAATTGGGTGAAGGTTCGGAAGAATCTAATGTTAGTGTAAAGTGTAAAGGGGTGAAACAAATGACCTAAACATGTAAAGGCACCAAAATACCATTATCAAGAAAGCTAATGATGATCTGTGTTCCAAATCTTTGGTTACATAAAAAGAATCCGGCTGAACCTAGAAATGTTGGGTGAGTTTGTTTATCTGACACTCTATATAAAAATGTAGACTGTAACAATATGCATTTGAAAATAATATAGAAAGTGTAGGCTAAAATTCACATTGAAGTTAACAAAATATAATCTAGCTGAACGTTTTTTTACATAGTCAGAGGTGGGAAAGTATTCAGATTTTGAACTTAACAAAAAGTAGAAGTACCAGAGTGTAGGAATACTCTGTTACAAGAAAAAGTGCTGAATTCAAAATGTTACTCAAGTAAAAGTATTATCATGAAAATATACTTAAAGTACCAAAAGTAAAAGCAGTCATTGTGCAGATTGGTCCATTTCAGAATAATATATATGATATGTTTTATAATGATTGATCATGAAAGTGTTCTCAAAGCTGGTAAAGGTGCAGCTAGTTTGAATGACTTTGTATACTGCAGGGTAGCTTGTGGATTTACTCCAGGTGGAACTAAAGTCTGATTCAACACTTGATTATATTTCACATCATTCATCCACATCTGTAAAGTAACTAAAGGTATTAAATACATGTAGTGGAGTAAAAGTACACCATTTACCTCTGAATTGTAGTGGAGTAGAAGTACAAAGTAGCAAAAAAACTCAAGTAAAGTACCTCAAAATTGTACTTAAGTACAGTACTTGAGTAAATCTACTTATGGCGCAGTTCCACTGCAGCGCGGAGCTCGCTTTAAGCGTGCCGTGTCGTGCCGTCCCCTTTTTTGGTTGTGCTTCCACTAGGCCTAGTTCCGGCGCGGCACGGCGCGGGGCCACTTTTTCACCTCTTTTCTGGCCCTAGAAAATTGTGGTTCTATCGGGGCCAACAAACAGGGCTGAGTCGGGCTGAGTATGCTAAACTAGAGAGAGGAGCGCTGGCAAGAGGGGTACAACTACAACAAGATGGACATATTTGACCGTGATTTAATTGTAATACACGTTTCAAAATGATGCCGAAGTAACAACATACTGATACCGGTTAGTAAAAACCATGAATTAATGCTTTGTCAAGTCTGCAGACAGACGGCAGGCGAAAAACCTTTTAAAATGCGTGTTTTTCTAGATGGAGATTGGCTAAGCTAACGCAGTATATGCTCTGACCGTCCACACTCACAACAACGGCCTATACAGACATAAATAAAGCAGCGACTGTATTCACCATGACACAGGCAGTCTGTGGTTTGTACTTGTTTAACTTTTGTCGAGTTTCTGAACATATATAAGGAGCTGTGAGCTCTGAGTGCTAACAGCTAACGGCTGTGTTGTGTTTCTGGAGTTTTCATTGAAGATGACGTCACGGCTCCGCCTACACTGCGTTACTATAGTAACTACCCCAGTTCCTAAACTGTAATGGAAGCGCAGCATGAAGTGAGTCGGCCCTGTTAAGGCCCAACGCGGCCAAGCCGTACCGAGCCGTACCGAGTGTGGCCGAGGCCGACCGTGTAGTGGAAATGCGCCATTAGTTACTTTACACCACTGTAGATAGTACCACAAAACACCCCTGCTGCCCTGAGAGTGAGCTTCATCCTAACAGCACTCAGAGTTTACTGACGGTCTGAGCCAGAGTCTCTCTGGGGCTCGGAGGTTGACCAACAACACCCCTCTCTCACCAACCCACTGGTCACTACCCGGTGCAGATGAGGAAGTCAGGCTTGCTGATATGGATGTTTAGAACATGACCCCTGAACCCCTCTCTGTCACTGGGACATTGGTCACCCCCCAGGCAGGGCCATGGGAACAGGCTGACGTTTATCCTTGCATGGCACCAAGCCCCACGTGTGTGTAATGGAAAATATACACACGACAACTGGGCAGGAAGGATGCTACAGAGTGAGGAAGGGCAGCGGATCATCTGTGTCAATCAATGAGGATTTTTCCATCACTGTTACTGATACGTCCATGAAAGTACCATGATGAAAATGTAATGACATGCAGGTGTGGGGAGTAACAGAGTACATGTAATGGGATTAATCAGGATACAAGAAAAGGTGACTGTATTCCCTTAGTTACATACAAAATTATATAAAAAATTTAAATAGGTTATCATATTACTTTTACATAAAAAAGGTGGGATATCCTAAATATCTTGGTTTCTTCATTCCTAAGGTCACTTTGTTCTGTTGTCTTACATAATACACTTAAGTAAAGAAGTCTCTTGTCTTTATTTGCATTGCATTTGATATTGAGTTATTCCCAAAGTAACGTGGAGTAATCAGGTCACTTTTATATTTTGATACTCAGATTAGGGTACTGATTACCTTTTTTACAGGTCACTAGTAATTGTAATGGATTACATTCCCAACCCTGATTACAGGAATGAGAAAGGTTGTTCTTTCTGGATATGGTTTGTGTTTATGCACAGCTGTGAGCTTATTAAAACTAGACACCAACAACTCCCTGTTCCAAATTCCTCTGGGGCTGTTGAGCATGCTGGAGAGTCTCTTCACATATTTCATCTCCAACACGTTTACAGTTATCCTTCGGCTGCAGGCAGAGTGCGAATCAGTGAGTGTGAGGCCATAATGGTTCATGTGAATCTATCGTGCTGACTCACTGACTGCACCGATTTGATTGGCTGATTAGCGTCACCTCCTTAAAACATTAAAGGTCCCATGTCATGGCCATTTCTACTGATCATAATTCCATTGTTGAGGTCTACTAGAATAGATTTACATTGTTCAATGTTCCAAACTCACATTGGTTTCTCATACAGCATCTCTGTAAAGTATGTGTATTCACTCTCTGTCCTACACGCCTTGTTGGAGCTCCTGCCCCCCTCCCTATGAGCCCACTGTGCTCTGATGTGTGTTTATGTGTTACAATGGCGTTTGTTAGCAACCAGAAAATGACACCAGTAATGACAAACAGATGAGAATGCTGCGTGGGGTCTGGGTGCCGTGTTGGCGGGACGTTGCGGGGCTCGCTGCTCCGCCCTTTGAGGCTCGAGGAGCGGACAGTGTGAGCTGGATTACTGGTGTGGTTTCCTGGTTGCTGCGTGGGGTCTGTGAGACAGCGAGACACCAGCCAGGCTGTGAGTGTGCGGAGATCCGCGGAGACGCGGCTGAGAAAAGATAAGGCTGAGTGAGTGTGTGTGTGTGTTACGTCACTAGGACCGTTACGTCACTATGACCAGGAAGAAAAAAATGGAAAAAGAAAAATGTCCAACGAGGCGTTCTGGGGCAGCATAGACAGGTCTTTTCTGTGTTAGAGTTTTACCCGCTACAGGGTGTACTTTGAGGGTTTGTGACTTTGC